TAGGGAGGATGGTGCAGGTTTAAGTTTATTAGATTGATCAGTATTGCAAAACTGAACTATTTTTTTGCATACAGGTATAACAGAATAGCTTTATTGTTGTTGTTGTTTTTTAAACTTGAGTATGAACTTATACAAAATGCAGCAAGATATAAAAAAAACTGTTTTACTGATTAAAAAACACTATATCGGATTCATATCGGTATCGGCTGATATCCAAATTTATGGTATCGGTATCGGACATAAAAAAGTGGTATCGTGCCATCTCTACTTCCTACATGACTGTGCGGGCATACACAAACTGGCATTCTTTCCACTGTCCTTTAACACTACAGCTAGATTTTAATGGCTGGATTAATATTTCTCATCCGAAAGCCAGATTTGCTACTTACTTACCCTACTACACCAAAAAAGCACAAAACTGTACGACAGCTCTTTGCTCCCCCAGCTTCCTGTTAAACACTTTCCTGATTATTTTATGGTCTCAGTCGGTTTTTTAAGGTCTTATTCAAGACAACATGACATAAACATTTTAAATTAGAGTCCCCACTAGAGGGAGAAAGCACCATAAAGGAGGGCATGCCCAACGTGACTGACAAGCTGCTAACCTGTGAGTGTGCACCTAATCATAACTGCTTCGCTCTCCTCACAGCTGCTTAAAACAGTTAACATATGCAGTCTGTACAACATAAAACAAGTCAGCAAAAAACAGAAAATAGTGAAATTATTTCTACAGCAGTGTTTCCAAACAGCTGGATGTGATGTGGAGCGCATGGAGCATCATTATGGTCATTTCCTCACAGTAAGAAGTGTGTGTTTATTTGCATCTTTATAAACATATTTGTGGGAGAGGATGTGCAAGAAGGCTATATCGCTGGGTTTTACCACAATATAAATGTTTTTTTCTACCCGTTTGGCGATAGTACCCCCCACCCGAGCCTGAAACCAGGTGCATCTCCACTGCAGCCTACACACACCTGAGCCTTAGGGCAGCATTCTTTCAGTGCAGTCGAGGTGTTTAGATGTGCCAGCATGTCACGTCTTGTTTGGCTGGGTTTAACTGGGTGTATAGCGTGACACCCAGTTAAACCCGGGGGCAATATATTCATACATATTCTTAAATCCATGCAGTGGGTCAGAAATGGGGCAATTTAGAAATGTAAAACACAACTTTTTATTAATGCCGGCTCACCTTTTCCAGAATTCCCCTGCTGGCTCTTAGTTGCCGCATCCTGACTTTGCCCAGCAGGTGGAGAAGAAGGCAGATGAGGGGGCGGCAGAGGAGGTGGTGGAGGAGGGGGAGGAGGAGGTGGTGGTGGAGGACGGAGTTCTTGGTGGGGAGAAGTCAGGTCCTGGCTGACTGTTTGGTCTCCTTGTCCCAAAGCAGCTCCTAATACACTGCCGGTCTCTCTGGTCTGGCTCTGGAGGGGCAAAGGTGAGAGGTCACGACCACAGAGCGAAGATCAGAGGGAAGCAGTTACAGTTCGGGTAAATATTTACTCCTCAGCTTTAGCCAGGGTTGGTAACCACACTGAAGCATGACAATAATTTACTACCAAAGAAAGTACATGACTCACTGTCAAATGACTCTTCAGCCCACACATTTTCGGTCTTATTTAATGAAGCTCGTAGCTTTTTTTCTTTATATATTTTCTTTCAGACGACACACGGCGAAATAAAACAGAGTTCAACTGACAAATTAGAAGTTTGAAAAAGCAAACAGTGAATCAGCTTCCTCACAACTCCCCCTCCCTTGAGCTGTCGCCTTCACAGGCTCACAAAACACACGACGTTCGACGCTTAAAACTCTGTGCTGTCGCCGCGCAAACAAACTCTGAGCGATGCTCTCTCTCCAGCGGCTGGCACGATGCTAAAACCAAGTGAGGAGAAAGATCTGGCAGCGCCAAGCAAACCAATATTTAACGAGGACCGTCGAATGAGAGGGAGCTCTTATTTATAGCAATGCCCTCGAGGGGCAGTAGTAGGGAGGAAGAGCTGACATCCAAACATCTACTTAAACTGGAGCTGCTGGCTGAGCTGCTGCTACGACTGCTATGACGAGAGACGCCCAAACAAAGCTTGCTAAGCTACTCCGCAACATGCACACTATTGCATGCTGGCCACATATGGATTATTAAGTTATTATGAAAACAGTCTTTCTGGTAAAAGTCATTTCAGTTATGTTTAGTTACCTTTATGTCCTGAATGCCTCAGAACAAAGTCCACAATGCAAGCCAAGACTGTCAACTAAGTTAAGACTCGTTAAAGCCACTTTAATCAACAACGATAAATACTTCAGATGAAGTGATTGTGTCTGACATCAAAGGGCTTGTCTTAAGTGGGAAAGCCTAAGAGACTTAATACCCAACTCTAAAGTATTTTGAAGTAGTTTACAGGGATGAAAGGAAGCCATTTTCAGCTAAGAATCTGCAAACAAATAGCAGGGAGGACAAAGAAGTTTAAAGAGCTGCTTCAGATATATTAAGACTGTATATAAATAATGGCCAATGCCACTTGTTTGTGTACTACAAGCCTTGAGTTTAGTCTGTGCCCATCAACATATTTGCTTTTCAAGTCTAAGGTGACAATATCTGTAAGAGACCATAGAGTTGGAGGGTTATTAGCTAACGGTAGCATTGGATAGCAAGGGGGAGGGGATTAGGGATGGGCATCAGAACCCGGTTCTTGTTGAGAACTGGTTCCCACTGTTTCAATTCCTTGGAATT